TTGTTTGTTTTGTTGCTGCTCTTTGGTTTCGGGAAGGGTTTCTCTAGTAGCGGTACTTCGGTTTCTGTAGTGTCTGTACTTCGGTACCGGCTGGTCAACAAGCACCCCTATCTGGACTTGAGAGAGTGCAGTCGGTGCCGGCAGCTCAGCTGTCACCAGAACGGCCTATGTGTCTTCCCGGGCTGCGGTGGTTACCCTAAACCCTAAACCCTAAACCCTAAACCCCAAAACCCTAAACCCTAAACCCTATCAATACAAAGGGACAGGCAGCATGGCATGGCCTTCAGCAAAGCTTACCACTTGTTGCGGCAAGGATATATGCCACTGCACACGCCAAAGGGAGTTACTGCCTGGCAACCCTAAACCCCTCAACACTGCAAAAAACGAGAGTAGAGTCATAAAGACACCCCTTTTTCCGAACTTGAGCCGCAGCCACAACTGCAAGTCACTTGGGCTTATGTACGAAGCAAATCTGGAAGCCCGCATAAGCTATGCCTGAACACTGCGAACCTACCTTCGTGCTCCTTTTGTCAGGGTTTAGGGTTTATCCGTAAAAAAATGGTCCGTCGTTTGGTGTTCTGAGAGACCATGGCCCCTGTCCTTGAGAGTCCGCTTCACCGGCGTCCTACATCCTGAAAGCACATGCACTTGGCCCTTATCAGTGTACTTCCCATCCCAATGAACAGAGGTGCCCCCGCAGGCTTCACTATCGTAAAAAACCTGTCGAAAACTAGGGTTTAGGGTTTGCTGTGTCAGGTCCGCCCCACTCTCGTATTGGGCCCGAAGCAGCAGATGCAGCGCGAGGACGCCGCGCCTAGAATTCGGGTCCGGCGCAATTAGGAGTGCAATTAGGGAAGACTCCCACGGCCCATGACTCATCCAGAAGACTGTTAACTGTTCACTCTGAGAAGCCTTAACCCCTCAACCGAGAAATCCAATGGGAGACTCCGTGCCCGTGTCTGTAGGGGGTTTGTTCATAAGGGTTTCTATGAGGGTTCTCTAGAGGTTCTAGAACAAGGTAAACGGGTATTTGGCTTCAGGTTTGACAGCAGCAACAACAACCACCACAACCAACAACCAAGAACGACACAGACAGAAAGCCACAAACAGAAACCAACAAACAACAAGCAACAACCAACAACCAAGAGCCAACCAACAACCAAGAGCCAACCAACAACCAAGAACGACACAATCAACAAGCAACAACCGCAACAACAACAGCAGCAGCAGCAACAGCAACAACAACGAGCAGCAGCAACGGCCACAACCACAACAACAGCAGCAGCAACAACAGCAGCAACACCACCAGCAGCAACAACAACGTCTACAACAGCTACAACACGCAATGTCAACGGCAACAAGCACAACGACGTCAACGCCAACGGCAACAGCAACCGCAACAGGAACATCAATAACAACAATTGCGCCAACAGCAGCAACAACATCAACAGCAAGCAACAGCAACAACGGCAGCAACAGCAGCAGCAGCAGCAACGACAGCAACAGCAGCAACACCAGCAACAGCAGCAGCAGCAGCAGCAGCGGCAGCAACGACAACGACAACGACAACGACAACGACAACAACAGCGGCAAATAATTTGCCAATGAGGGCTTTCATTTGTCAGGATGAGGGTTCAGGACTTCACGTGTCGGCTGAGGGTCTCAGGTTTTGGGGAGTACTATAAAACGGTTTAGGGTTTCGGGTTTAGGGCTTAGAGTTTAAAATGCCAATACTATTTGGGGAGTTCTAATTCTTCAGGCCCCTATATCAGGGCTTTAGGCTGGTACGGTTCACCTTATCCACAAACCACCTAGCTTTCAAGGGCTTATCGGAGGTAGGAGTTTGGGGTTAAGGTAGGGGCTCTCTACCTGGCAAAAGAGCCGAAACAACTTAATTAAAGTGAAAGCAAGCACGAAGCTCCGAATCGAACGATGTTTGAGCAAACTCCTGATTGACGTCTTGGTTACAATGAGAGTGAAGAGACACTCACACGCCAAAACATCTACATTCAAGCCCATCCAGGACCCGCTTAATTAATAGTCATCCAACCATATTATCCAGCACTAAACATTCACCAACCAATTCGACTCCAAATACCACTCCGACCTCGCTCCCGAAGCGCTACATCTTACCCCAACTTAAAACAGCAAACCCCAACCCCTTCAAAATACCCAGGACAACAAGCAATAACTAATTCACTCACACAGAACAGGACCCTAAACCAAAAACCTAAACCCTAAACCCTAAGCCAACAACTACTTGGATCGATGTTTGCAGGAAGCCGAGTCGAAGCTCAAGGCGATTTCTGCCGAGGTCGCTAAAGTCGACGCGGAGGCAAAGCAAGCTGTGGCCCAGGCCTGCGTAGGGTTCGCGTTTTAGGCTTTGGGGTTTTCGGGTTTTGAACAGTTGGGGGTTTAGGGCTTTGGGGTTTTAGGGTTTTTAGGATTTAGGAGTTTGTGGTTTAGGGTTTTGGGGGTTAGGGTTTAGATAGGGTTTGTTCCTCAACGCTATCGTGGGAGCTAGGTGGATTTTCTGCACATCTCGACAACAGGGATACCCAAACTTTCTTCTGCTTATTTCTAAGTCGTTCACCGGCTGCTAACGATCGTTTGATATGAATATTTTGAATTACAGTGACTATTCATTCATCGTCCCTAAACCTATAAACCCTAAACCCTAAGCCCCTCTGAATCATAGTCCCTTTTGCATGTACCGTCTCACCCTGAACCCTATTTCAACTATTGGTGGTCTGCACGGTGTGTTGTCGACATCTAGATGAAGATGAACCGGCGTTCCCCAAACCCTAAACCCCAAACCCCTAAAGCCCTAAACCCTAAACCTATGCCCTAAAACCTACAACTCTAAGCATAGCAAAGCCGTTAAACCATGCCTTCATCCCCGATCTCGACACATCAAACCCCTAAATCCTGAACCCCTAAACCCAAAACCCTAAACCCCAAAAAGCTAAACCTCAAACCCCTAATCCGTGAGACCGAAAGTTCTGGGAAAAATCTTAGCAACCAAAAAGGACAGAAGCATAAACATTTTATCTGGATATCCCTGCCTTATTGGGCTTCATTAAAAGGGGGTTTATATGGGATATCACTATCCTAATTTTTGCTTATGTGCTTTTTTGGGGCCCTAGGGTCTAGGCTCCATGGCTTTGGGCTTAAGATTCGGGGTTTAGGGTTCAAGGCCTAAAATCACCAGGCATCGGCCTTGGGAAACAACCAGTCCAACATGCACAGCCTGCTTCAGGCGCGCGGCGCAGGGGTTTAGGGTTCAGGGGATTCCGGGGTTGCAGGTTTAGGGGTTCACGGTTTAGGGTTTAGGGTTTAGGGTTTAGGGTTCACGGTTGAGGGTTTAGGGTTTAGGGTTTAGGGTTTAGGATTCCGGGGTTGCAGGTTTAGGGTTTATGGTTCAGGGGTTTAGGGTTCAGGGGTTCGGGGTTCCGGGGTTGAGGGTGCAAGACGATCTGCCTTTCACCCTAAACCCTGAACCCCTAAACCCTCTCTTAAAGATTCCTTCAAGGGCTCCTTCCAAGGTTTAAGGTTTAGCGATTTAGGGTTTGGGGTTGAAGTTTACTTTATGAAGCTTTGGGCTCTCAACCCAAAGCTTCCGAAGCCCTATGAGATTTTGGGTAAAACCCTAAACCCGAAACCCCAAACCCGAAACCGGCAAGAGGGTTAGGAGAGCAAAGTTGCACAGGCTGCAGCTTGCAGCGTAGCCAGCAACCCAGGGTCTAGGGCTTAGATTCGAGACACGGGAGTTTCCGAAAATAGGGGGGGGTCCCTTATTTGGGGGTCCTTATAATAAGGATCCTAAACCCTAAACCCTAAACCCTAAACCCTAAACCCTAAACCTAATAAGGATCCTACTATTTGGGGGTGCTATATTAAATAGGGTCCCCTATTTTCGGAAACCCCCACACTGCGCACAACTCCATAAACACCTGAGAACATCTATACAGACATAGGAACCCCCCTGTAAAACCTATACAAGTCCATGCAACTCCTGCAAAAACCGTTTCTGTGGCCAAAATTTGACCATATAAACCCAAAATAACCCAAAACCCTGAACAAAGGAACCCCCAAAACAGTATTGGTAATTATTTAGGCCTCTATATTAAGCCCTTAACCGTGAATTGGGGTGTGGGAATTGGAACCCTAAACCCTAAGTCAACCTTTCAAGTCCTTGAAAGGAAGCCGTAAAGGAGCCCTTGAAGGAGCCCGTTAAAGGATCCCTTAAAGGGCTCCTTCAAGGGGTCCTGTAAGGGTTCCTTGAAGGGTTCCTTTAAGGGTTCCTTTAGGGGTTCCTTTAAGGGTTCCTGAAGGGCTCCTTTCAGGGATCCTTGTTGGGATCCTTTAAAGGAAGCCTGACAGGGTTTAGGGTTTTAGGGTTTAGGGTTTAGGGTTTTGTTGACGGGAGTTCCCGTCCGGATCTTCTGGACTAACAGTCGCCTCCATCTTCTCAAGCAGAGCACATCATGAGGCTTCGAATTGTTCCCTCCCTTTTTTAAGCACAACGCAGCTGTCAAACTGTTCTGACTGCACATGCACTTTAACGAAGTCTGCTGTTCCGAGGGGGTGTACATAACAGCTGTTGCCTCCGCTGAACCTATACAAGTGCTGTCGTCAGTCGTAACTTCTGGGCCCAAGGGTTACGTTCACGTAGCCTTCCCTGGAACCGAAAAGTCACAGCAAGAACTGTTGTTGTCCCGCATCGGCTCTTCCACA